ATGGTATGGAGTTGTACGCACTTTCTTCGTGCCAGTGAGCTCACAGAGTTCTTTTATAGTCTTTGACTCAAAGTCGGGGCCTTGGTCGCTATGTAGTCGCTCTGGAAAGCCATAATGACCTATGAAATTCTCCCACAGACTCTTTGCTACGGTGCGAGCTCGCTGGTTGGGTGTTGGCACAGCTACAGCGTACTTAGTGAAGTGATCCGTGATAACCAAAATATCTTTTGTGTTGGATCGGTCTGGTTCCAAGGACAAGAAATCCATACACACCAATTCAAGAGGCCTACTTGTCTTTATATTCATCAGTGGTGCGGCTCTCTCAGGTGGAGACTTCCTGCGTACACAACGCTCACAAGTTCCAATCATCTTTTCAATAGCCATATACATCTTTGGCCAATAAAATCTGGCTCTGGCTAGATCTACAGTCCGCTCAACTCCCATGTGGCCCATGTCATCATGGAGGCTTTTTAGTGCTACTGATCTTAGCTCCTCAGGAAGCACTAGCTGAAAGATGATATTGGGCCCATCTTGTCTCCTTCGATAGAGCACTCCATTGTGTAGCTCCAGCCGGTTGAGCTCACGCAACAGCAACGGGAGTTCAGGCAGTTCAACCTTAAGACGGGAAGGTGGAGTTTGACCAGTCTCCATTTGAATGATCACCTCATTGATTGCAGGATCAGATCTCTGCTTTTCTCTTAGCTCATCCTCAGAAAGAGATGGGATGAGAGGAAACCCATCAATTTGCTCTTCCTGAAAGCTGTCTGGGATAGCCATGGAATGATGAGAAAGGGACTCAACTAAAGCTACCCTGTGGTTTGGGAATTTATCATTGCTGTCTTCAGCAATTTGGACAGTGTGTCGGTCACAGATAGCTTGGACTACATCAAGAGGAACAGTGTGTGAAGGTTCAACATTGCTCAGGTGATGAAGTGCAAACTGTCGGATTCTCTCACTTTCTTTTCTAGATGTGGGATCATCCTCTGGTGCTCCATGAGAGCGGCGAGACAGTGCGTCGGCATCTAGGTTTTGCTTGCCGGCTCGATACTGGAGTTGGAAAGAGTAAGTGGAAAGTGCTGACAGCCACCTGTAACTCGTTGCATCAAGTTTTGCAGATGTTAAGATGTAAGTCAGCGGATTGCTGTCAGTTACCACTTTGAAGTCCGTACCATATAAGTAGTCAGAGAATTTCTCAGTGACTGCCCATTTGAGGGCCAAGAACTCTAGCTTATGGGCAGGATACTTCATTTCACTTTTCGAAAGTCCTCGGCTTGCAAAGGCTATTGCTCTCATTTGGCCATCCTGGAGCTGATACAACGCGGCTCCCAAACCGATGGTGCTGGCATCCGTATGCAGGATGTAAGGAAGCTGGGGGTTGGCAAAACCCAGGACAGGAGCTGAAGTTAACTTTTGAATTATCAAATCAAATGCTTCCTGACAAAGGGATGTCCACCTCTGACCAAGAGGCTCTTTCGGGTTGTGGTACTCTTGGCTAGCACTCTTTTGAGGCTTTTTGCTTCCCTTTCTAAGTGGTGGATACCCAGAAGTTAGTTCGTTGAGGGGCTTGACGATCTGAGAGTACCCTTGGATAAACCTTCTGTAATATCCAGCAAAGCCTAGAAAGGACCTAAGTTCTTTCAGGTTAGTGGGGACAGGCCAAGACGTTAGGGCCACAATCTTCTCTGGGTCTGTTTCTACACCCTGCTCTGACACTACATGGCCAAGGTATCTTACAGAGGTCTGGAAGAATTTGCATTTTTCTGGAGCCAACTTCAATCCGTATTCCTTTAGTCGCTGCAGTACACGCTTCAGGCGCTGCTCATGTTCTTCCAAGGATGATGAGAAAATGATCAAGTCGTCAATGAACACTAAAACCTCTTTCAGGTTAATTTCCCCCATACACTTCTCCATAAGTCGCTGGAAGGTTGACGGCGCATTTGTGATTCCCTGGGGCATCCTGTTGAATTCCCAGAATCCTAGTGGACAGACAAATGCCGTCTTCTGCTTGTCAGATTCTTCCATTTCAATTTGGTAATACCCCGACTTAAGATCAAGGACGGAGAACCACTTCGACCCTGCTAGGGCTGAAAAAGCCTCCTCTAGATTTGGGAGGGCATACGCGTCCTTGATGGTCTGAAGGTTTAGCTTTCTGAAGTCTATACAAAGACGAACAGAACCATCCTTCTTCCTTACAACGACGATGGGAGAAGCAAATGGGGACTCTGATTCCCGTATGACTCCTGAGTCGAGGAGCTCCTGAAGGTGTTTCCTTACTGCCTCCACGTCATGGGGATGTATTGGTCGGGGTCTGTATTTAAAAGGTGTCTCATCATTGAGCTTGATGTGGTGTTTGACCTTATCTGTGTGCCCAAAATCCAGGTCATGATGGGAAAAGACTTCTGGCATAGAATTCAGCATGTTTATCACACGTTCCTTCCATTCAGTGGGCAATGGAGAGTCTCCAAAATTAAAGCTCAAACTTTCAGACTGAGGGGAATCTTTCTGTGTTTCAGGTGGAGTTGATTCTTTCACCGTTTGCTCTTTGTGAAGGACACACCCTATGGCATTAACATCGGCCAATACCGTTTTAGGAGGTATGACAATGTCATGGTCAGTCTCATTCTTCAACACAACAGGCAATTTACAGGGTTGTTTCATGGGCAGGTTGATTAGGCTGGCCGACACCAATAGGCCACCTGGTAAGGAAGAGGCTGACGGCTGCTCAAGGATGACATACTTCTCAGAGTGAGCACTGGAGATGTTAACCAAGCCTTCAAGAACAACTGACTGCCGCGCAGGGACAACCTCAGGGCTCTTTCCTTGCAGCTTAGCCCAACCAATGTTACCACCGTTTGAGGTCTTCTGCCGCATTTCAAGGATTTTAAGAACAGCTCGATAGCCATTTGATGAAGGCTGAAAAGTAGAGCATGCAGGATCAGTAATGAAATCAGCATAAAGCGCATCAAGAGTGTTGGTGCCAATAAGCACCTGTTCCCGCGCTGCAGAGCGCAGGTGGGGAATGACCAAAGCCAGTGTGTGGATTTCAATTTCAGACCCTACAAAGTCTTTAGGAAAGGTAATGGAAAGATCAATATATCCCAAGTAGGGAACTGGTTGGCCGTTAGCACCCTCTACGTCAAGGAGATCATTCAGTGGATGAATAGCCAGCTCTGAAAGATGCTGCTTAAAAAAGGACTGGGGGACAGTAGTCACCTGTGACCCACTATCCAAAATACAGTTAACAGTTTCCCCTGCAATAGTAACTTGAGCTGTAGTTTTTGTTCCGACGAGGCCTCGTGGAAGTTTAACAGAGTGCTCTCTGAGCTGAGCTCTCTTCAAGACTGGCTTCTTAGGTTTGGGACAGGATTTGTCAGGTGTGGCTCCCATGTGTCCCTCGATGGGAGCAGATATCAGTTTAAATGAGGCTTTTCCTCAGGGACATTAGAAGCCTCCCAGATAGCTTGCCTTTCTCTCAACTGTTTTTTCTTGGCAGCTACAAGGGAAGGATTTGGCTCATTATCACAAGCTGAAGCGATGTGACCATCCTCGCCACACTGGAAGCAGTACCATGGACGTGGTTTGCTGTGGACCTTGGCAACAGGACTCTGATGTTGAGAAACTTTCTTTTTGACAGGGCGGGCCTCGACTTTAGCACTCTCAGCAAGGGACTTGGCTTTCTGTCGTGCAGGTTGTTCCTGTTTGTTGTTATCACGTTTCAGACTACTGACCTGAGCAGTAATGTCAGCTATTTGTTTCTTTAAAATGTCGATTTCAGACTCAGCAGTGGCATGTACTGTTTGCAGATGAGACATGACACGCTGCTTAGCGGCGCAAGGAGCAGGCTTGGCTGTGCCCAAATGCTGTCTCATACGGCTAACTTTTGCCGCCTGTTTATCCTCCTCTGTTCTTAACATTAACAGGAGTTCTGCAAAGGAAGGCGGGCTCCCCTTCTTTTGCTGTAGTTGGAGGTCAACTATAAGGGCATTATCCCAGCAACCGCGGCAGAATTGTTTAAGAAGCTGCTTGTCAAACTCAGACGCAGAAACACCTCCGCGCCTCATAGTCATGCTCAGACACACATGCAATCTCTGAAGAAAGGATGATGGCTTTTCTCCTTCATTCTGAAGTGTGCTCAGGAACCTGGCATAAAGTTCATCACCATCTTCAACTGCACCAAAAGCAGAGTCAAGTATATCAAGATAAGCAGAAGGTTTAGCCTGTGGACCTAAATGCGTTGAGTTCGCAGGATGTGGGCTTGGGGAAGACAATAGATCACCCTGTGTGAGTGGTTCCGTTTGGGGAAGTGGTGTCTGCTCAAAGGAGGTGTCCTGACAACCATGCAAAGGAATGGTGGATGAAGCAAGGCTTGCCAATTCCTCTTTCAGCATTTGTTCCAGTGAATTTCCACTCAATTTTGCAATTTCCTGCAGCTGGGTCATGTATGCTCTAGTGGCAATGTTGCGAGCATTTAATGCATAAACACTTGCCAAGCTCTGTACTTCATAACTGGCACCTGGTTGAACAGAACTTTCAAGCTTGAGTGGCAGCAGAGGCTCTAATGTTAGCATGGCGGTGCCATATGTGAACTCTACTATCACGTGGTGGTGGAAGTCTGACTCTGGGGCATCTATGCGGAAGTGGCGGTTAATTGAACCATGTTTTTCAAGGAAAGTGGATACTACTTCGTCAATATCTGTGTCGGTTATCCCACTAACAACTACAGAATTGGGGATTTTAATCGATTCACGCATTACTATATCCATGTTGCTGTACTTGGTCTAAGATACCTGGCTTTAGAGTGTTGGACGTAACCAATTGTAGGAAATTGGACCAATAATGTCTCAGTTAAACACTCAGTATTGCTCCTGGCTGGCTCGCCACAACTGTAGCACACAGGAAGGATTATGGGTAGGGCCGTGATCTGATTGGTTGGTTAAGTCGGTTGGTTCGGCTGCTGGAGCAAAAGTGAGGTGTTTAAAATGAGACTCAGAGACCAAGGATTAGATGTAGGATAATGCCGGCTTCTTATATTTGAAGATATGTATAAAAATAAAAATATTTGTTGGTACCAAAAATGAAAAAGTACAATAATAAAACAAGCAATGAATAAGGCAATTATTGATATCACAATCAGGCTATGACATCAGCATGAAATGCTTGCTTTCCAAATTTAAAGTGAGTATTTCACTCTTTGAAGTAGTTCTATAATTAAATTCCCGGGTGCACCCTTTAACCTGAATTTCTGTTAATAACACCACATTCACGTTTGTTCAGATCCAGTTCAATAATACAATCCAATAGAATTCACACAGTACAACAGTAACCCTTAATTGCAGGAATGATTCCTACTACTCAGCTCCAAATTCTCAGTCCCAAGGTGTGAACAGGTGAGTTTGTTTAAGTGAGTCCAAAGTCCAAACAAAAAATGGATTTGTCGAAGGTAAGTCAGAGTTCAGAGTTCCATAGGGTTGGTGTATGGATGTGTGTGGGGGAAGGAGTGTGAAGGTGAGTGAAGGGGTTTTGTGTTGTAGTGGGGCCTACCACACCGCAAAGTGCAGTAGTAGCGGGACAGGTCCAGTGATCCTGAAGAGGGAATGGCTCCCACGATCATTCAAGAGGGACGGCTCGCCATCAATTTTCATCCGCAGATCCAATCCAGACAATGGAAAAAGAAGCACGCACACAAAAAAAACCTGACCTGTCAACAGACAGGGTCAGAGAAATATTCACTGCTTAAGTCTCATGCAATAATATACACTACATGAAATTCACAATACACAATGACATACATACTGTGGGTGTTTACTTTCTGTGCCTCTCTCTCAAAATTCAGCATATAAACATAAATAACTTGGCTGCACACAACCAGATAAGCTGCACATTAGAACAATTAAAGTTTTGATGCAAGTGCAAAATAAAGTAAGCTGAGTTTACACATTAAACAACACAGTAAACCAGCTTGTTCAACTAAAACTGTAGCTTCATATTCACTAAGTGCACATAAATAATTTAAGGTGCAAAGTAAGTGAACATTCTCACCGATTTCACCAGAGCGGCTGGACACACACCCAAAATGGCGGCGCCCAGTAAAGCCACAAGGTCTTCTAAAACCGAAACATACGAGACCGTATGCGACTTTCAGTACTTTCTCTCAGTGCAAAATAAATTAGCTTTCACAGTAAGGTGATAAAGAATGAACAAAAGCAGTTTTAAATGAATTACCTCGCTCTTGAATCAGCAAAGACTGCGCGTCGCGGGAAATCCTACGGACATCAAAGCTACCGACGCTGCTAGTAGTCGTCTCAAGCACTATATCTAAACACTGAACTTACAACTAAACTCTCACAGCAGTTAACTACCACGTTTGTAGTGTTGAAGTTAGCCTCAGTGTAGTTCGTTTTTTAGCTGTATTTTCTCCAGGTTTCTCCGTTTTCACCCTCTACAGCAGCACTTCTGTCTCTCCACACACACAGCAGCGGGGAAAAAAAAAACTTTCGCTCGCTCCCAGAGACGCGGGAGCAGGTGGGCGGGCCTACCTGCTGTCAGCCGATTGGCCAAACTAACCTGTCGGTCTATTTTGCCCTGGTAACTGAATTTTAACCCTTTAAAATCCTTAGATAATCTCTAAAGTTGCATTTCAAAAATAAAATCACTCATTCAGATTTTTATAGGCTTTTCCTATTTTTAAACCTAGATCATTTCATCTGTGTTACAACAGACTTATACACTCTACTACACAATGCACATGGAAGTAACAGAGATTTTTGGCAGGATTTTTGCCAGGTTTTTCAGAGATGAGCAGAAAATAAGCTTTTATAATGTCTGCCTTGTGTTTTTAATTTTTGAACGGCGTAAATAGGGTAATAGTGTGCAGCAATTTTACTGTTATTTCATCATGTTCAACACCATGCTCACTCCTCAGAGAATGAGCACGCAGTTGCCCTGGATTGCCCAGGAGATGTCTACAGCACAATACATGCAATACATGTGTTATGTTCAGCAGAGATCAATTATGAACTGCCACATGCTGGGGCTTCTGACGCTGGATCCTACTGTTGCTCTTAATGATACATTTAATGTAACAAAATCCTCAGTGTTGACCAATGCATGTTGGGATTGGTGGCTCCAACACCCTTTTAAACTACATCAGGCCTCATGACGTAACTCAAGATATTAAGAAAATGACCTTAACTGTGCATTCAGACCAAACATGAGGTGAGCATTGGGGGCAGCGCGATTACATTCAAAGATGTGGATATATATACATTTGTTCTTTACACTTGCATATCATAATGTCAAAAAAAAAAAGAGATAAAAACCAATAATTATTTTGTGAAAATGTAAAAGTGGCAACCGAGTCATAACTTATTACCTGGGCTCTTTAGTTCTCTTTTTGGGCTGACACTAGATCAACAAAATTTTTGGAGCACCTTGACTTCACTACTTATCACTGTTCACTGTCAGCTCTGGTAACACATTTGCAGATCATTATGCTTGAGCTAAATGATGTAACACACTTGTTACACAGAGTGTGCAAAAGACAAACAGAGAAAGATATTCAGCCATTTTTTTCTGCAGGAAATGGACTCTCATTTTCCTCCTCCTCTTCAGTAATTTGTTAATGTCTCATCTTCAGGCGAGAATTGGCATATTGCATGTCAGTTCTGCTCAGTGGTGCTTTGGCGACCCATGATTCACTGCTGAGTCATGCAACATGAGCTGTGAGGCTTATTCAACTGTTCCTGGATGTGATCTAGCACTGAGATGTGTTATATTCTCTCCTCATTAGTAAAAACTGTTGAGGGAAGTGAAAAGAAGAAACATCAGGAGGTCAAGTCCAATGGGTTACAGAGTGTGGGCTAGAAGTTGTTTACTTTTTCTTAGTTAGGCTTAGAGAAAAAAATATCCAATTTACCAGAGGCACTATAATGATCCAGGTGCAGAGCGTGTCTGTCCTTTTCCCAGTGGCTAAATATTGACTGTGCTTTATAGCAGCAGATGGGTTGAACGGTGAATGCAGGCTGTGCTGGAAGGAATGAGTGAGTGTACGAGCGACATCTGGTCCTTCCTGCGCCCAGTGGACCTGGTTGCTACATCAAGCTGCCTCATTAGAACTAGCTGGGGCTTTAGGAGCATTCTGCCACTCAAGCCACTGCTCTAGTGCTCCCATCAAATCCCTCATTTGCCACTGTGCCAAGACTGAAGGACCATATAATGTGTTGTGTCGGCAAGTTTTGCACATCCCACCCCTTTCTCTGCATTCTGCTTGGGTCACCTATTCGCACATTCATTTTACCAGGAGAGAATTATGATGTGGTTGCTGTTCGAAATGTCTGCATTCAACCTCAGTCCACAGCTGGCTTTCAGTAAAGCTTCCTGACTGGTGGGATGTGGCTTGTACAACTCCAGTTTTAAACTGACATTGAAAATAAATATGTCCCTTAACAACAGAGTGTCTTTAGTGATTCTCTTCAGGCAGTCATTTTATGAATTTACAGTAATTAAACAGAAATCAATCTCGACATTATGTGGAATAAATTGTAATCTCCATTCCTGAAATGGACAAATGATCAAATATGTAAAATGGTTGCAAATCCTATCAATGGCTGCCATTTTTTGCATAAAAACAGAGAAAGTAAACTCAAACCTCTGCCTTAACTCCCATGCAAATACTTTACTGCAAATAACATTATTTTTGCAGATGTTGCCTTTTCAGGCTGACTTAACATCAGACTCTCTCACAACAGTCAAATCTCAGCAAACCATTTCCAACCTTATACCTAAACTGAACAATCTAAAATATCTAGAACTAAGCATTTGACTTATATGACTCACATGACTGGTGGTACACAGCTATGACAGTTTACCAAAATAAAAAGTTTCTGCACAATTTTTTTAACTCTTGAACTGGTTATAATCTTTTAATTTAATTATAATTTTGCAGAAAAAAATGCTCATTTTAGGCTGCATTAATCAAAACACAATGCAAAGTAATCCTGCTAAAAGTGTGGTGAATTACTGTGATCATAAAGCATGGATCCACAGATTTCCACTCACAGTAAAGAGTCATCTATTTCTCTGATGACTGTGGAGAGTGCTCATCTCAGTGCAACTAGTGGCCCTCTCTGCTGGTAGAGGCTGCTGGGCTAGGCTGGGCTCCGTTTTAGCAGCTCAACTCGCCTCTTCTCAGGGGCTGCAATCATGTGCTGCACCACCTACTTATCAGAGGGCTGTTTGGATTACCACACCACATTTAATGGCAAGCTGCCATATGATGAATATCATAATCCACAACACAAGCGGTGCCACACATTCTGTGTCCCTTCACAGAGTGCTGCCCTGCTGATTTCACTGCAGAAACCCCCCTCCCTGTGAGCTCCTCAATCCCAGCAAACAAATTGTCCTGGGAAATATGGGAAAATACAAAAGCATAAAAATCAAATAAGCAGGATGCATATTGTGCTGTAATATTGAGGCTCTTCCTCTTCCAACACAGGCTTCTCTGCAGTGCTATACACTATACAGTACCACTGATTTGCACTATATTCTGGCAAGTTACAATATTCCTGGAATCAATCATCAATAACCAATAAAAAACCACTGGGGATGTGCTTTATTTTGGGCTTTCTGGGCAATAAATAGAACCATTAACCTGTGATAGAGCAGTCAAGTAATTTTCAGTATGCTTCAAACTGGAGCAATGTGGCAGTCATAGCGCATTTTCTCATTTCAGTCCATAGCTTCAATCAGGAAGCTGAAATCCTGGCACAATGAAAGAGTTACTTTAGGCTACAGAGGGGGTGGACACACTCAGAGCAACACATGCGCAAAATAAATCAATGCAATACAATAGTCCTGCAATAAATCCTACCTTTGTGAAGATTATAGTTTTTAGTGAGAGTGAGTTAGAGAGCCATTAAATCAGCTGTGTTTGAGGTTTTAGTTTTTGAATAACGCAAAAACTCTACTTTATAATATAATGCAACACAAACTGTGGCCTCAAAACATACCATATTACTATAGTTATTGCAGTGCTTGCATTAGATTGTTATAATCTACTGTACATGTGTTCATTTTATTGTGTCCACCCCTAGTACAATCAATTATTTGCGCTAACAACACACATAACAAACTGACATAAAGTAATGTTACTAACAGAGAAAAGAGGATATTAATTTGTTGGTTTCAGTTGGGAAGTCGAAATTAAAGATATTGTGAAATATTTTGTTTTCTGTTTTTTTTTTAAGTATGATGACCTGGATACCATATTGTGCCAGACAGATTTTACTTTAACAAGAGAGTATTAATATACACCTTTGTCTGTTTATTTATTTATTTAATTATGTATTGATTTGTCACCGGGCCGGACAGGGGGGCAGACACAGGGATAGGGGGGCACAAACAGGCAGCACAGAGAAAGGACAAGACCTGCAGGAGAAGGGGGATGGAAGGTGGGGACAACAGGGAAAAGCAGTTGGAAACAACAATTGCAGAAAGCAACGAAACCTGCAATAGAACAGAGAGGGGGGCTTGGGGAGGAGAAAAACAACAACAAACAAACACAAACAAAAACAATAAAATAATAATAGTAAAAGACAACCAGCTGAACAGCAGCAATAAACAGCTGACATAGTAAGACAACTAAGACAAAAATGAAAACAAGAAACAGTCCAGCACACTAAATAAGCAACACAGCACAGCCACGAGAGCTGGAATAATAACAATTAATTTAAATAAGTAACTGAAAGAAAAGCATCAGGAATAATTCTACCAGGGACAACCTAAATTTGTTTGTGTCTATGTGTGAGACTGTGTGTGTCTGTTTGCGTGTGGGTGAATGTGTCTGTATGTGTGTGTGTACATGTGTGTGCGCATAAGCCTGTTAAAGAATGTAGTTGTTAGTGAGAGTGGGGCGCCACGACTGTGTCACACCTACCCCAGCAACAGGCAGGCAAGAACCCCAGTAGCCAATAGGGGTGGGAGAAAGAAAAAAAATCAAACAAAAATCAAAAAAACTCCCAGATGCACCGCGATGCAAACGCGGAAGACCCCGACCCAAATGCCAGTTGACAACGTAATGCCGACGGAACGCAAGAAGCGTAACCTGCGGAAGAGCAGCACCTGGACTGACTGCACACAACATAGACCGGTGCCCCCCCCCCATCCAGCACCCCACCGCCGCGCAGCGAACAACCAAAACGCCCAAATGCCACGCAATAATCAACACCAATGCACAAGTGACGAGCCCAACGCACACACTGCGCGAGCACGGTGACACCCAATGCCCAGCAGCCCCCTGCGAATCCGCGTGTGAGGTCGGGTAAATGAGAGAGAGCGAGCGGAATAACGCGACAGCGAAAGCCGGCGGAGAGAAACACCAGCAGCAAGTCCCAGCCCGGCAGCAAACGTGCCGCGCATGTCACCGTGCACCTGCCAATAAAAGTCCGCCGTCCCCACAACCGCCGGAAAAAACTAAGGCCACCGGCGCCTGCCGACATCCCCCATGCGCAGCATGCCCCCCGGCCGCCGTGCAACACCAGCAACGAGGCAAAATCAACTAGCTCAGCTGCATGCCACCACCAACCCACCCACCCGTCAAGGGCCGAGAACTCCAGGCACAAGCCCAGAACAAACCGGAGCACAGCCCTGCCCCGCACCCACACTGCACATCCCGAAAACTAACTATATACCTCAGTATCCAGAGGGGTCCAA